TTGTACAAATAATAATAATAAAATATTATTTTCAAAATAAACACCAAAAGAAAAAAATTTACTTATTAATATAAAAAAATGCTAAAGAACTATAAAAAAAAAAAAAAAAAAAGATTGCTAAATTTTATACTATACTTTCTTTATTTAATTGACAAATTTAAGTAAGTGGGCTGTTCAAGTAAATCTGTAAATAAATCTAATAACTTCCATTTTGCTTCACGATCTTCAGCAGAATGTGTGGTACCCAAATCTTTAAAAGAATCTAAAGTTGTATTGTCATCATCTAAAGGATTATTGTTAACCAATTCATTAATTTCTTCGTCATCTACTAGATTTATCCACTTAGATACTAAATAGCGCCAATTATCAACAGTTTGAATATCTCCACTATTTGACTTATTTAATTCTTCAATATAAGTATCTTCAACATAGGTATCTTCAGGCTAGGTATCTTCTACATGACTGTCTTCAACATAGGTATCTTCAACATAAGTATCTTCAATATGAGCATCTTCAACATGAGCATCATCAACATAGGTATCTTCAGTATAAGTATCTTCATAAGTATTTTCATCACTTAATAAATCGAAACTTTCATTATCGGAAATTTCTAAATTTGTGTTTTGTGCTTGTGTTGCAACATTTGTTTCACAGATTTTTTTTTTCTTGTCTAGTTAAAGCTTCACTTAAATTATCATGTCGTAATTTATCCTTTAATTGACATAATTTTAAAACTTTATTAGGCTAAAATTAAAATCAATAGTTTAGCTATATTAAATATTAATTTAAATCAGATATTAGAAATAGAGATGAGTTTAATTGGCTAAACCCATCTTTAGTTATAAATTACCATTAATCAGTTTCATTGAGCAGTATGAATCCAACCCATTTTAGAAAATAACTGTTCTACTGAAGCACTAGCAACTGAAATTGAAAATTTTTTAAAGCTACAAGATGCAATTCTTTTGTATGACCTGCAACATGATTCCAAAATTTTAAAGGATTATCAAACTGCTTATATGTTTTTTGATCAAAAGGATTTTTTTCTGCACAATATTGCTCCAATTCTGCAAGAATAACTAAAGGTTCTTTATTAAACCAATTGGTATAATAGTAACAAACCTATCTTTCTAAATAAGTATATGAAATATTCGAAATTGTAAGATTAAATTTTGTGTCTTTATACTTTGGATGATGTAAAAAAGAAAGAAGTAAAAGGGGTTGTTCCCACATGGCCCACCATTTCTCAATCTTTTGAATATAATATTTTTGTAAAGGAAGTTTATAGTTAGTTTTTAACAACTTTACAATCCACCCAAATGCATGAAGAACTTCATATAACTGTGCACCATCAGTTTGCAATTTATTTAAAGCTGCGCAATAAGTTCAACTAATTTATATAATTCTTATAACTTTTTCCACCAATCCGAGCTTGAAAGATTTTTTGAATATTATTAGGAAAACTATAAAGAATACTATCATCACCATCTTCAATTTTTTTTGAAATAAAAAAAACTCTTTCAGCTTATCACTTGTACACAAAATTTTATCCAAAATATTTTTCACTTTTTCTCAATTTATACAAACTTTTATTAAGTTAACAACCTTTTGACTCTTAATAACAGTTGTTCAGCTACTGTTTTTACATATATTTGTAAAGTTTCA